AGGATGGGTAGGGAACGTTCAGTAGGTAGCGGGATCATGATAACTAACAAACACTGACTTGTTAATATTTATGTAACGAGTGTACACAGCGAGAGTCGAGATACACAGGCTGCCAAACACGAATTGGTGTCATTGTAAACTTGTTGTAAGCATATACAACTGTCAGCTTGGACTTATCAGCTATAAATGTTTTCCCTGTCAGTTGTAAATGTGACTGTGAAGTGGTTATTGACAGTGTAACAGTTTATTACCAGTCAGCTTACAAGTGAGAATCATAGTGTGGTGTTGGTGTAGATCGTAGGAGTGAAGGACAAAAGCCCCCGAGAACAAAATCCCCCTAGGACAAAAGCACCCCTAGGACAAAAGCCCCCTAGGACAAAAGCCCACTAGGACAAAAGCCCACTAGGACAAAAGCCCCCTAGGACAAAAGCCCCCTAGGACAAAAGCCCCCTAGGACAAAAGCCAACTAGGACAAAATCCCACTAGGACAAGCCCCTAGGACAAAAGCCCACTAGGACAAAGCCCCCTAGGACAAAAGCCCCCTAGGACAAAAAGCCCCTAGGTTAAAGCCAGCTAGGACAAGCCCACTGGGACAAAAATCACTGGGCTAAAGCCCCCTAGGACAAAAAGCCCCCTAGGACAAAAGCCCCCTAGGACAAAAGCCACTAGGACTATAAAAGCCCCTAGGACAAAAGCCCCCCCCTAGGACAAAAGCCAACTAGGACAAAAGCCCACTAAGGACAAAATCCCACTAGGACAAAGCCCACTAGGACAAAGCCCCCGAGAACAAAAGCCCACTAGGACAAAAGCCCACTAGGACAAAAGCCACTTGGGACAAAAGCCTCCTAGAACAAAAGCCCACTAGGGGCAAAAGTCCTAGAGACAAAAGTCCTAGGACAAGCCCACTAGGACAAAAGTCCCCTAGGGAGCAAAAGCCCCCCCTAGGACAAAAGCCCACTTGGACAAAGCCCCTGAACAAAGCCCACTAGGACAAAAAGTCCCCTAGAACAAAAGCCCCCTAGGACAAAGCCCAAGGACCAAAAAGCCCCTCAGGACAAAAGCCCACTAGAACAAAGCCCCTAGAACGAAGCCACCCCTAGGACAAAAAGCCCCTCGGACAAAGCCCACTAGGACAAAAGAGTGCACTAGGACAAAGTCCCTAGAACAAAAAGCCCACTAGGACAAAGACCACTAGGACAAAAGCCCCTAGAACAAATACCCCACTTCAGAGGACCAAAGAATTCTGGAACTAAAGAGAGCCCTGGGACAAAAGCCCCCTAGGAACAAAGCCACTAGGACAAAAGCCCCCCCCTAGGACCCAAAAGCCACTGGGACCATAAAGTCCCCTAGAGACAAAGCCCACTAGGACAAAAGCCCCCCCTAGGACAAAGCCCTCAAGGACAAGCCCACTAGGTAAAGCCCCCTAGGACCTGAGGCCCCTTGGATACAAGCCCCCTAGGACAAAAGCCCCTAGGACAAAAGGCCCCTGGGATAAAAGCCCTTAGAGACAAAGCCCACTGGGACCAAAAGCCCCCTAGGACAAAAGCCCCTAGGAAATAAAAGCCCACTGGGACCAAAAGCCCCTAGAACAAAGCCCACTAGAATAAAGCCCCCCCTAGGACAAAGCCACTAGGTTAAAAGTCCCCCTAGAACAAAAAAGCCCACTAGAACAAAAGCCCACTGGGACAAAAAGCCCCCAAGGACAAAAGCCCCTAGGACAAAGTCCCTAGAAATAAAGCCCACTGGGACAAAGCCCCTAGAACAAAGCCCACTAGAACAAAAGCCCCCTTAGGACAAAAACCCCTCGGACAAGCCCACTAGGACAAAAGTCCCCTAGAACAAAAGCCCCACTGGGACAAAAGTCCCCTAGGACAAAAGCCCCTGGGACAAGGCCCCCTAGGATAAAGCCCCCCCTGGGACAAAAAGTCCCCTAGGACAAAAGCCCCTAAGACAAGGCCCCTAGGATAAAAGTCCCCTAGAACAAAAGCCCACTAGGACAAGCCCCTAGGACCAAGCCCCCTAGAAATAAAGCCCACTGGGACAAAAGCCCCTAGAGACAAAGCCCACTAGAACAAAGCCCCCCTGGGACAAAAGCCACTAGGACAAAGTCCCCTAGAAATAAAAGCCCACTAGGACAAAAGTCCCCTAGGACCACTTCCCCCTAGGACAAAGGCCCCTAGGATAAAAGCCCCCCTGGGACAAAAGCCCCTCGGACAAAAAGCCCACTAGGACAAAAGTCCCCTAGAACAAAAGCCCACTAGGACAAAAGCCCCCAAGGACAAAGCCCCTAGGACAAAAGTCCCAGGAAATAAAGCCACTAGGACAAAAAGCCCCTAGAACAAAGCCCACTAGAACAAAAGCCCCCTTAGGACACAGGCCTCGGACAAAGCCCACTGGGACAAAAGTCCCCTAGAACAAAAGCCAACTAGACAAAAAGCCCCCCTAGGACAAAAAGCCCCTCGGACAAAAAGCCCACTGGACAAAGTCCCCTAGAACAAGCCCACTGGGACAAAAGCCCCCTAGGACAAAAGCCCCCTAGGGCAAAGCCCCTCGGACAAAGCCCCCTAGAACAAAGCCCGCCTTGGACCAAAAGCCCCTAGAGACAAAAGCCCCTAGGACAAAAGTCCCTAGAACAAAAGCCCCCTAGGACAAAAGTCCTAAATTAAAAGCCCCTAAAACAAAAGCCCACTGGGACCAGCCCCTAGAACAAAAGCCCCCCCTAGGACAAAGTCCCCTAGGACAAAAGTCCCCTAGAGACAAAGCCCCTAGGACAAAGTCCCCTAGAACAAAGCCCCCTAAAACAAAGCCCACTAGGACAAAAGCCCCTAGAACCAAAGCCCCTAGGACAAAGTCCCCTAGAGACAAAAACCCCCCTAGAACAGAAGCCCACTTGGACCAAAAGCCCCTAAAACAAAGCCCCCTGGACAAAGTCCCCTAGAACAAAAGCCCCCCCTAGGACAAAAGTCCCCTAGAGACAAAAAGCCCCCTAAAAGTAAAAGCCCACTGGGACAAAAGCCCCCTAGAACAAAAGCCCCCCTAGAACAAAAGCCCCCTAGGACAAAGTCCCCTAGGACAAAAGTCCCCTAGAACAAAAGCCCCCTAGGTTAAAAGCCACTAGGACAAAAGCCCCTCAGGACAAAAAGCCCACTAGAACAAAGCCCCTGGGAGCAAAAAGCCCCCCCTAGGACAAAAGCCCTCTGACAAACCCACTGGGACAAAAAAGTCCCTAGAACAAAAGCCCACTAGGACAAAAGCCCACTGGGACAAAAGCCCCTAGAACAAAAGCCCACTAGGACAAAGTCCCTAGAACAAAAAGGCCCCTAGGACAAAGCCCCTAGAACAAAAAGCCCACTAGGACAAAAGCCCCTAGGACAAAAGCCCACTAGGACAAAAGTCCCCTAGAGACAAAAGCCCACTGGGACAAAGCCCCCTAGAACAAAGCCCTCAAGGGACAAAGCCCACCAAATAAAGCCCACTAGGACAAAAGCCCACTAGGACCAAAAGCCCCCCTGGGACCAAAGGCCCCTTAGTTCAAGGCCCCTTGGATAAAGCCCCTAGGACAAGCCCCCTAGGACAAAAAGCCCCCCTAGGACAAAAGCCCCCCTGGGAGCAAAAAAGCCCCTAGGACAAAGAGCTACACTAGAACACAAAGCCCCCCCTGGGACTAAAAGCCCACTTCTAGGACAAAGAAGCCCCCTAGGACAAAGCCCACTGGACAAAATTCCCTAGAACAAAAGCCCCTAGGACAAAAGCCCCCTAGGACAAAAGCCCAATAGGACAAAAGTCCCCCTAGAACAAAGCCCTGGGACAAAAGCCCCCCCTGGGACAAAAGCCCTAGGACCACTTTAGGGACAAAGCCCACTAGGACAAGAAGTCTAGAACAAAGCCCTCGGACAAAAAGCCCACTAGGACAAAGTCCCCTAGGAGCAAAAGCCCACTGGGACCAAAAGTCCCTAGAACAAAAGCCCACACTAGGACCAAGCCCCTCAGGACAAAGCCACTGGGACAAAGCCCTGGGAGACAAAAAGCCCACTGGGACAAAAAGCCCCCTAGGACAAAAGCCCCCTAGGACCAAAAGCCCCCTAGGACAAGCCCCCTAGGACAGAAGCCCACTAGGACAAAAAGCCCCTGGGACAAAGCCCCTCGGACAAAAAGCCCCCTAGAACAAAAGCCCACTAGGACAAAAGCCCCCTAGAACAAAGCCCACTAGGACAAAGTCCCCTAGAACAAAAGCCCACTAGGACAAAGCCCCCTAGAGACAAAAAGCCCCCTAGGACAAAAGCCCCTAGGACAAAGCCCCATCGGACAAAAGCCCCTAGAACAAAAGCCCACTGGGACAAAAGCCCCTAGAACAAAAGCCCACTAGGACCAAAAGCCCCTAAGGACAAGCCCCTAGGTTAAAAGCCCCCCTAGGACAAAGCCCTCTGAGACCAAAGCCCCTCGGACAAAAGCCCACTAGGACAGGCCACTTCAGGGAGCTTAAAAGCCCTCGGACAAGCCCTAGAACAAAAAGCCACTGGACAAAAGCCCCCTAGGACAAAAAAGCCCCCCTAGGGGACAAAAGCCCTCGGACAAAAGAGAGTCCCTAGAACAAAAAGCCCCTCGGACAAAAGCCCACTAAAACAATAGCCCCCTAGAACAAAAGCCCACTGGGACAAAAGTTCCCTTGAACAAAAGCCCCCCTAACAAAAGCCCACTAGGACTAAAGCCCCCTAGGACAAAAGCCCACTAGGACAAAAGCCCCCTTAGGACAAAAGCCCCTAGGACAAAAGTCCATTAGGACAAAAGCCCCGTCGGGATAAAGCCCCCTAGGACAAAATCCCCCTAGGACAAAAGCCCACTAGGACAAAAGCCCCGTCGGGATAAAGCCCCCTAGGACAAAAGCCCACTAGTACAAAAGCCCCGTCGGGATAAAGCCCCCTAGGACAAATAATAATAAGAATTTTTACATAATTTGTATTCTTTATTGTTAACAGTTCATGAATCTAACCAAATCTCACCTATTTTGCACTTTAACTGAGGTGGTTTTGTCCAGGGGGCCTTTAGTCCGGGGGGGCTTTTGTCCGGACCCCAGATTGTAGTAGTAGAGTGGAGTATAGTCCTGGATGGGGAGCTTCATGAAAACACAAACATCAATATTTACTCCACTTTTGTACACTGAAAACATTCCCTGGCAAGTGGAATTGTACAGAGTGGATCTTAGATGGATGAAGTACAGTACTGTATTTTGGTTTTCGCTGAGGACTAGAAGATGCAAGATTATTGAGTAAAGTACAGTGACCATGGGTAAAGTTTTGGACCGTTCTACATTTTGTAATCTGTACCAGTACTGTACTAATGTTTCTGTAATAATTTTATTTTCATGTGGTATGTAACTTAAGAATTGCTATATATTTCCATTCACTGAGTTACATAAATCATAATATCCTTTTGTTACGCCCTGTACATCAGACATTAACAGTCAGCTATCGTATTTTAGTTGTTTACGGTAGATTACGATATCCTAAATTTGTGTTGTAATGACTACTGTATTTTACTGTATACTGTACGTTGTTGACTACACCGAGCGCCAGTAGTTTATTTACTTCTCAGAAATAAACAACATCATTGTTTTTGTTGCGTATGATCAGTGAGGCGAGCTTACATGACTTGAGTTATGCTCTTGTATAATACTGTTACTTTAAAACGAGGAGGAAGAAGTTTAGGATAGAAAGGGAAGAAGGAGTAGTGGAATAAATGGAGAGGTTCAGTGAGAAGGTGACAACAAGTGAGAAGAATGCCGGAGGAGAGGAAACAAGAGTAAAGTAGGTGTAATGAGCGGAGGAAACACCACATAGGAACAGAGAAGATGAGTGAAATCGAAGTATTTTTTTACCACTGAATCATTGTGAGGAATTACTGACTGTATGCGAGAGGACACACGAGACGTAGGCATCGTGGCCACTCCCTCTGAAGGAAGTGGTGGGGCGTCGCAGATAGATTAAACCACATTACTGGGACCTGTGTATGTATAATAACCTACACCTGAAGTAGCAAACACTCCTTGTGTGATGGATAAATAAAGGGCCTTTATAAACAGTGATTACAGTACAGGAAGCTCTTATAAACAGTGATTACAGTACAGGAAGCTCTTATAAACAGTGATTACAGTACAGGAAGCTCTTATAAACAGTGATTACAGTACAGGAAGCTCTTATAAACAGTGATTACAGTACAGGAAGCTCTTATAAACAGTGATTACAGTACAGGAAGCTCTTATAAACAGTGATTACAGTACAGGAAGCTCTTATAAACAGTGATTACAGTACAGGAAGCTCTTATAAACAGTGATTACAGTACAGGAAGCTCTTATAAACAGTGATTACAGTACAGGAAGCTCTTATAAACAGTGATTACAGTACAGGAAGCTCTTATAAACAGTGATTACAGTACAGGAAGCTCTTATAAACAGTGACTACAGTACAGGAAGCTCTTATAAACAGTGACTACAGTACAGGAAGCTCTTATAAACAGTGACTACAGTACAGGAAGCTCTTATAAACAGTGATTACAGTACAGGAAGCTCTTATAAACAGTGATTACAGTACAGGGCTCTTATAAACAGTGATTACAGTACAGGAAGCTCTTATAAACAGTGATTACAGTACAGGAAGCTCTTATAAACAGTGACTACAGTTCAGGAAGCTCTTATAAACAGTGATTACAGTACAGGAAGCTCTTATAAGCAGTGATTACAGTACAGGAAGCTCTTATAAGCAGTGATTACAGTACAGGAAGCTCTTATAAACAGTGATTACAGTACAGGAAGCTCTTATAAACAGTGACTACAGTACAGGAAGCTCTTATAAACAGTGACTACAGTACAGGAAGCTCTTATAAACAGTGACTACAGTACAGGAAGCTCTTATAAACAGTGACCTCAGTACAGGAAGCTCTTATAAACAGTGACTACAGTACAGGAAGCTCCTATAAACAGTGACTACAGTACAGGAAGCTCTTATAAACAGTGACTACAGTACAGGAAGCTCTTATAAACAGTGACTACAGTACAGGAAGCTCTTATAAACAGTGACTACAGTACAGGAAGCTCATAAACAGTGAGTACAGTACAGGAAGCTCTTATAAACAGTGACTACAGTACAGGAAGCTCTTATAAACAGTGATTACAGTACAGGAAGCTCTCATAAACAGTGACTACAGTACAGGAAGCTCTTATAAACAGTGACTACAGTAGAGGCAGCATATAAACAGTGACTACAGTACAGGAAGCTCTTATAAACAGTGATTACAGTACAGGAAGCTCTTATAAACAGGGAGTACAGTACAGGAAGCTCTTATAAACAGTGACCTCAGTACAGGAAGCTCATAAACAGTGACTACAGTACAGGAAGCTCTTATAAACAGTGACTACAGTACAGGAAGCTCTTATAAACAGTGATTACAGTACAGGAAGCTCTTATAAACAGTGACTACAGTACAGGAAGCTCTTATAAACAGTGATTACAGTACAGGGCTCTTATAAACAGTGACTACAGTACAGGGCTCTTATAAACAGTGATTACAGTACAGGAAGCTCTTATAAACAGTGACTACAGTACAGGAAGCTCTTATAAACAGTGACTACAGTACAGGAAGTCTTATAAACAGTGACCTCAGTACAGGAAGCTCTTATAAACGGTGATTACAGTACAGGAAGCTCTTATAAACAGTGACTACAGTACAGGAAGCTCTTATAAACAGTGATTACAGTACAGGAAGCTCTTATAAACAGTGATTACAGTACAGGAAGCTCTTATAAACAGTTACAGTACAGGAAGCTCTTATAAACAGTGATTACAGTACAGGAAGCTCTTATAAACAGTGACTACAGTAGGAAGCTCTTATAAACAGTGATTACAGTACAGAGCTCTTATAAACAGTGATTACAGTACAGGAAGCTCTTATAAACAGTGACTACAGTACAGGAAGCTCTTATAAACGGATGATTACAGTACAGGAAGCTCTTATAAACAGTGATTACAGTACAGGAAGCTCTTATAAACAGTGATTACAGTACAGGAAGCTCTTATAAACAGTGATTACAGTACAGGAAGCTCTTATAAACAGTGACTACAGTACAGGAAGCTCTTATAAACAGTGACTACAGTACAGGAAGCTCTTATAAACAGTGACTACAGTACAGAAGCTCTTATAAACAGTGATTACAGTACAGGAAGCTCTTATAAACAGTGATTACAGTACAGGAAGCTCTTATAAACAGTGATTACAGTACAGGAAGCTCTTATAAACAGTGATTACAGTACAGGAAGCTCTTATAAACAGTGATTACAGTTCAGGAAGCTCTTATAAACAGTGATTACAGTACAGGAAGCTCTTATAAACAGTGACTACAGTTCAGGAAGCTCTTATAAACAGTGATTACAGTACAGGAAAGCTCTTATAAACAGAAATTACAGTACAGGAAGCTCTTATAAACAGTGACTACAGTACAGGAAGCTCTTATAAACAGTGATTACAGTACAGGAGCTCTTATAAACAGTGACAACAGTACAGGAAGCTCTTATAAACAGTGATTACAGTACAGGAAGCTCTTATAAACAGTGATTACAGTACAGGAAGCTCTTATAAACAGTGATTACAGTACAGGAAGCTCTTATAAACAGTGATTACAGTACAGGAAGCTCTTATAAACAGTGATTACAGTACAGGAAGCGCTTATAAACAGTGACTACAGTACAGGAAGCTCTTATAAACTGACTACAGTACAGAGCTCTTATAAACAGTGACTACAGTACAGGAAGCTCTTATAAACTGACTACAGTACAGGAAGCTCTTATAAACTGACTACAGTACAGGAAGCTCTTATAAACAGTGACTACAGTACAGGAAGCTCTTATAAACTGACTACAGTACAGGAAGCTCTTATAAACAGTGACTACAGAACAAGAAGCTACATAAACAGTGACTACAGCACACATAAACAGTGACCTCAGTACAGGAAGCTCTTATAAACAGTGACTACAGTACAGGAAGCTCTTATAAACAGTGATTACAGTACAGGAAACTCTCTTATAAACAGTGACTACAGTACAGGAAGCTCTTATAAACAGTGACTACAGTACAGGAAGCTCTTATAAAGTGACTACAGCACAGGAAGCTCTTATAAACAGTGACTACAGTACAGGAAGCTCTTATAAACAGTACAGTACAGAGGCTCTTATAAGTGACTACAGTTCAGGAAGCTCTTATAAACAGTGACTACAGTACAGGAAGCTCTTATAAACAGTGATTACAGTACAGGAAGCTCTTATAAAACAGTGACTACAGTACAGGAAGCTCTTATAAACAGTGATTACAGTACAGGCTCTTATAAACAGTGACTACAGTACAGGAAGCTCTTATAAACAGTGACTACAGTACAGGAAGCTCTTATAAACAGTGACTACAGTACAGGAAGCTCCTATAAACAGTGATTACAGTGCAAGGCTCTTATAAACTGACTACAGTAGAAGCTCTTATAAACAATGACTACAGTACAGGAAGCTCTTATAAACAGTGACTACAGTACAGGAAGCTCTTATAAACAGTGACCTCAGTACAGGAAGCTCTTATAAACAGTGACTACAGTACAGGAAGCTCCTATAAACAGTGACTACAGTACAGGAAGCTCTTATAAACAGTGACTACAGTACAGGAAGCTCTTATAAACAGTGACTACAGTACAGGAAGCTATAAACAGTGACTACAGTACAGGAAGCTCATAAACAGTGAGTACAGTACAGGAAGCTCTATAAACAGTGACTACAGTACAGGAAGCTCTTATAAACAGTGATTACAGTACAGGAGGCTCTCATAAACAGTGACTACAGTACAGGAAGCTCTTATAAACAGTGACTACAGTAGAGGCAGCATATAAACAGTGACTACAGTACAGGAAGCTCTTATAAACAGTGATTACAGTACAGGAAGCTCTTATAAACAGGGAGTACAGTACAGAAGCTCTTATAAACAGGGAGTACAGTACAGGAAGCTCTTATAAACAGGGAGTACAGTACAGGAAGCTCTTATAAACAGTGACTACAGTACAGGAAGCTCTGATAAAGTGACTACAGTACAGGAAGCTCTTATAAACAGTGACCTCAGTACAGGAAGCTCAAACAGTGACTACAGTACAGGAAGCTCTTTTAAACAGTGACCTCAGTACAGGAAGCTCTTATAAACAGTGACTACAGTACAGGAAGCTCTTATAAACAGGAAATACAGTACAGGAAGCTCATAAACAGTGACTAGTGCAGGAAGCTTAAAACAGTGATTACAGTACAGAAGCTCTTATAAACAGTGACTACAGTACAGGAAGCTCTTATAAACAGTGACTACAGTACAGGAAGCTCTAAACAGTGAGTACAACAGGAAGCTCTTATAAACAGTGACTACAGTACAGGAAGCTCTTATAAACAGTGATTACAGTACAAAGCTCTCATAAACAGTGACTACAGTACAGGAAATAAACAGTGACTACAGTAGAGGCAGCATATAAACAGTGACTACAGTACAGGAAGCTCTTATAAACAGTGATTACAGTACAGGAAGCTCTTATAAACAGGGAGTACAGTACAGGAAGCTCTTATAAACAGTGACCTCAGTACAGGAAGCTCATAAACAGTGACTACAGTACAGGAAGCTCTTATAAACAGGAAGTACAGTACAGGAAGCTCTTATAAACAGTGACTACAGTGCAGGAAGCTTATAAACAGTGACTACAGTACAGGAAGCTCTTATAAACAGGAAGTACAGTACAGGAAGCTCTTATAAACAGTGACTTCAGTACAGGAAGCTCTTATAAACAGTGACTACAGTACAGAGATAGATTAGTACTTCTGTATCAGGATCAGATGCCCTCTTTAGAAACATCAGTGTTAGGTTCTTAGTGAGAGG